ATAATAGAAGCTAAAGTTGAGACAGAAGTTAAGATTTGTTTTGAGTCTAAGGCAGTAAATGAAGCTGGGGTTGGTAATGAGACAGGGACTAAGAGTAACACTGTGCCTGAGATTGTCAGTGAAACCCAGAACAGCACTAAGACTACAGATAAAGCTCAGGTGACTGTTGTAGCTGAAGATAAAACTGAAATCTCCCCTGCAGATCAGCCTGTGGTCATTGATAAGATTGAATCTAGCCACAAGGAGAAAAGTTCCAGATCACATAAGTCTAAATCATCCAAGTCCACTTCCAGGACTCGACCTGGCACAGCCACAGGGCTGCGGCCAGGCATGATCAGCCCACAGCTAAACACAGGGCTTGAGGATCTTGAGTCAACAGGCCCAGCTGAAGGCATCGAGTCCACCTGGCCTCGCCGAATCATTGTCAGAAAAAGGACTGTTAGGCAGGGTGGGGCACTCCATAACCTCCCTATTCTCCCCCCACTTCCTTCTGTCCTCTCAGCAATGGAGAAGAGGCGCCCACATGCTCACCTCCCTCCCCATCCCAGCCACTTCTCAGAGAACCCGCTAACAAGCCTAATGACCGCTACAAGTATTGTGGGACGATGCTCACTTAAAGAGCCCTTGCATCCAGAACCAGCACAAGGGGCCAGTTTGGTTGGCAGGGCTTCACTTAAGGAGCAGAACTTGGAGCACTGGAGGGTCTGCAGAGAGCAGGACGAACCCAGGAGATCACAGAGCAAGGAGAAACAAGGAGAGCAGAGGAGGGAGAAAACTGAGAGGGGAGAGAGGAAGGGGATGGAAGAAAAGAGAGATAAAGAGAGAGGGGGGGAGAAAGACAAAAAGGAAGAGAGAGTCAGTAAAGAGAAAGAGGAGATTATCCTTAGCGAGGGACATGAGGAAGAAACCAAAGTAGAAACCAGAAGAGTTGAAGAAGAAGTCCAAGAAAATGCTAATAAAATTAAGGAAGTAACGCAGGAGAAGAATGTAGAAATAATGTCTGAAAAGCTGGAGAGTAAAGGTATGAAAATTAAAGATGGAATACATGAGTGGCATAAACAAGAGCTGGAGGAGGTGGTGGCTAAATTACAGATAGAAGAAGGTGATGTAGAAGGAGGAGAAGGAGGGACATTTGGAGAAGAAGGACAGATGGAGAGTTGGGATTCCGTCATTGACATGGTCAACACTTTGTGGGATGAGGGCTGGGATAAAGGCAGAGCAGGAGGAAGTGGTGATACAGATTCCCTCTCAGGCTCTCTGCCACGGTGGCCTCTCCTCCGGCCTCCAGTTGGCTTTGGGGGCTCCCACCCCCCTTCATCAGCAGCCTCGGAGCTCAGCTTGACAGAGTTAGAGAGGAGAGCCAGGGAGCTTGACTCTGACCTGGAGCATCTAGACCTCTCTCAGCCTCATAGGGACAGCCAGGAATCATACCAAACACTGATGGAGCCACAGAGGGAGCGAGGTGACATGTACCAAACACACCCTGGGACGCAGAGAGAGAAAGCTGCTGCCTTGACAGGTAGATACATATCTGTTGAATAGGGGTGTGACGATACACTTAGATGAGGCAATGCACGATATTGGGTTCACGAGAACAAGATGATATTTTAACACTATTTTTTAACAAATCTTCAATGATGAACTATATGACTGGAAAAAGTAGTCTTTTATTTGATTGAAAGTCACAAAATGCAAAACAATGCAGGTGCATTTTGAAATGTTGTCACTAATCATCTTGTAATGAATGTCACGTCAGTTCTACTTTCTGAATACAAATAATCATTAGCAGTAAAAGACAGAACCACTGTAAAAGGTTTTGCCACAAACTCAAGTGATTGGCTTCTCTCCTGTATGATTTCACGAGTCTCTTCAGACCTTATAACTGTGCATGAACTATGCATGAGCTTCTAACTTCTAATTGGAGCTGCAGTTTCCCACAGAATTACATTCCAACTGTGGGAGTAGCTTGGGGGGTGGGGGCAAGGGGAGTTGCATGTTCATAATTTTTTTAAACTAAATACAGTAAAGCGATAGTGCTGTTGTGCTGTTCATCTGACCTGTCCCTCCTGCACTAGCTCTCCCACAGCAGCGTGTTGGCCGCTGCCCTCCTCCTACATCTCTCTCTTCCTGACCCTCTCTAGCTGCTTCAGCAGCACTGATTGAAACCAGTAAATATGTGAAACAAATCAATTGGATTGCTAATTGCACTGGTCAGACTGATCAGCTTTCCCGTTTTTTTTTATATTCCCCTGGACTGAGGGGGAAAACATTCAGCGTCAGAGTTTATGAACTAGCATTAACTTTATCCACTTACAGAGCAACTCATGTACATCAATGCTATATACAGGGTGCTGACCTCGATGACAGCTGTATTCTAATGTTAGCTTAGCTAGCCTCACTAGCTTGCTGATAGCGCCGCGATTAACAGTGTTGTGTGAAACAACTGACAGAGAGAGGAGGAGCTGTTCACAGGCACTACACTGAAATAAAATTTAAACTATTATAAATCAATATGTGGCAATCAATGTTGATAACGTAGTGGCCCACCACAAATAAATCAGTGTATGGGAAACAGTGATGTGTGACATTCTAACTGAACTCCTTTCCACAAACTGAATATAAAAAAAGTGTCAAGGGCATGCCAATTTCACTCTCACACGTTGCCATGCCAGGTGATGCTCTTGTTCTGATATGACAAGTTGGCTTTCACCTTTTCACCTTACATATTTTTTCATTTATTGTGCCTCCAATAATATACTAGGTATGGGAAGTTCTATAAACAACCTGTTATATTAAACGGGAACTCACTTGATTATAAATACATATAAATATTTAGATGTCAGAAACAGTTGTACAATGTCTATGGCTTTGGATGAGTGTTGTCATGATTGGAAAAAAAAGTCCCCGACTATGTCCTTGTGATGTCATCAGGATTTTCTTGGCTTGGGACAAATAATTGCAATGCCAGAGTTTTTTTATACATTTGCTGGCTCATACTGGCTCCAGATTTCTACTATATGTCTTAATTACTTTGAGATTGTGGATCGCTGAACAAAATTTATACTATGATAAACTAATAATATAGTTTTTGAAAATAGATTTTGACAGATAGCCCCTCTTTGAGACAAGGGCACATGATCAGGTAAAACAACCCACCTAAACTGAAATTCCACCTTACAGATTTTTGTTTGCTTGTTTGTTTTTATCAAATTTTCAGTTAAAAATGAGACATGGTGTATATGGCGCTTTGGGGCTCCTGGAGGCCTGGGGCCCTGGGACAGCTGCCCACTTTGTTTGACAGACAATCTAGCATTTTAATATTGTGCAGTGACAGTGCCTTCATTGTTTGTGTTTACCACATTATGTAAGCTGTCAAAACAACAGTATTATTATATTATATACACTCAGCAGTTTCCTGTTTTCAGCAGCAGCCATGCATTGTTTGTCTGGGATGTTGGTACTGAACAGTTTTATTTATACATGGACAAAAATAATAGGTGGCGAATTAGTGCCAGCAAAGTGCAACTGTTCATTGTTCTGAACATTTGCATTAATCTCTTACTATGCACAGACATTGTTTTCCAGTATTTTCTGCTCATTAATTTGAGGTCAGTGCTGTAATGTGACTTGAGAAAGAAGTAATGAGGGAGAACCTCTGGCAGGATCACAAGAACCCGAATCTCTGAAACTTTATATATAAAGCATTCTTTGGCTGTTCATTAATTAAAAAAAGAAGTTAGTGAGGGCAAGTGACTCCTTAGGTGAGCTTTACTTTAGAGCATATCAATTTTGCCCATAGGGGAGGGTAGACCCAGAGCACTGTAGGTGGATGCTGGTATAAGGTTGATTACATTTCCCATTTCTCTTGTTGTATTGAATCTGTACTCTGTTTTCCAGGAGTGGGGAGAAGATCCCAGGTCAGTTTGGAGATCAGTGCTACAGACACAGACAGGCTTCCTGTCGAGTGGTCGACCAAGTCTGCTGGGACTTCCTCTGTTGGCACCAGGTAACTCCATGAACACTGTCTGCACTGTGTCTGAACTGTTCTCCACCAGATGCTCATACATCCTGGGTGACTGAAGGTTCATCACCCAGAGCAAAAATCAAACCCAGGTTTGAATTCCGCCAAGATATACTGAAGAGTCACCACATTGATATGGAGCATGGCGCATGTTGCAATTTCAAACACTTAATGCTTCTCAGAATTTCAAAGCTGAATTTTTTCTTTTCATTTCTCATTTTCTTTTCGTTTTATATTTTTGATATATACTAACAGAGCAATGAAATATATCAGCACCCGATTTTGACTTGTGGCCGGGTACCGTGCAGTGTGGTGTCAAGATTTCTCGCAGTTTAAAATTGATCGTGTTTGGATTCTACATGTAAGTAAATGCAAATTAAATGCACAAAACCTTTTGAGCTGAGCCATGAGTGATATAAATAAATAAAGCCATAGTAGCCCAACACTGAAGCGTTGAGATACACCACATATTAATTATCAACAATCAGAACAGTAACAGTGAACAAATTATAAAAGAAAGATAGCAAGCTTTTTAAGTCCCCTAAATTAAGGCAAAATTAATATGAATTAAATGATTAATTAATGATTTTTCACAAAAAAATCATTTAGTGGTTTTAAAAGTTTGCTTTGTTTTGTTTCATGTCATTGTAATGCCATTTCATATTGATAAAACAGCAGAATGTCTGCCCATACTGTGGGATGATAACAGGCGCATTTAGTTACAGTGTTGACTAGATCTATCTATCTACCTATCTATCTATACCTGTTTTTGTTTATTTTTATATACTTATATAATATTTTAACCACACTTAATGCTTGTTAAAACTGAACTTTGTATGTTTAATTTTTTAGCAGTATTCATGGCCCTACAGTTGTTAAAATTGTTCTGGGTAACAGTTGCATTCAGGACCATTATAAAAATTAATGGCTCACATGACGTGAGCATACAAGTGTCGGGTGCACATTAAACAGTATATCACATGTTAGAATGAATCGTCGAGGTAAGTTCTTTTGATCTGAATCAAATGAAGTAGGCATGAAAGCAACATAATCAATCACCTTTTCCTGAGCCAACTTTAGTAGATCATTACAACAGTCAACTCAACATTAGTATGTGTGGTTTCTGGCTAACAAATGAAGACATAAACCAAAGCATTCAACAACCTTAGCCAAATTAGAGAGCTCATGCATTCATAACAATGTGTCCATCATTCAAGATATCTGTGCAAGCATTCAAAGACAAAAACCTGAAGGTGCTCAAAAGGGTTGAGAAAAAACAAATCAATGACCTTGATTTGAAAAAGTAGGTTATGACACGTTTGGTGACAGTGCGGTAACCATTAGTAGATGAGAGCATTAGAAGTCACAGGAGACAAATAGGACTGTAGCAGTCATTTGACTGCCTTGTCTTTTTTTCTAGCTCCACTAAGGAGGACAGCTCTCCAGACTCCAACCTAACATTGGAGTCCGACTCCAGTGGCGTCTTCCTCTCTTTATCCAATCAGAGCCAGGAGGAGGCTGGCTCTGACAGCGACCAGCCAATCAGTGGCTCTGACCTAGGCAGCAGCAGCACATCACTGGAAAAAGACGGGGATGATGGTTTAAAGGAATGGGGAAGGGAGGAGAGTGCAGAGCTACAGTGGTGCTACCCATCACTCCTTAACACCTCACAGGATGACATAGAAGGAGATGGCAAAAGAGAGGAAGCAGGATATAGAAAGATAGGGGGTGATGAAGAGCGATGGAAAGATGAAAATGGAGGAAAAGATGATAAGATAGGAATGGTTTCAATCATTAATACGCCACTTGACCATACAGCCATTGAGGGCTCCCCAACTATAAATGACCCACAAAGGGAAGAAATGCCTCACAGAAAAAAAGTGACTCTTATGGGAGGTGATTCTCCTCTTCCTTTGTCTCCCACAAAACAACCAATCAAACACCTTCTAGACCCTAGTCAGAAACCAATCAGAAGCTCTGGACTGGACTGTAGTGACTTAGATCCCTTTGTCCAGTTGGACAGCTTTGTCTATCTCGCTGTATCTGCAAGACCTGCCTCCCAGGGTGAAGTCACCACAGTGACAGAAGTTCCCACTAACGATACAAAACAAGGCAGTGTACAGCAACATTCAGATAGCATGAAAATACACTTGGACCAGGCAAATACAGAACAAGATGGCAAGCCAACTCACCTTGCCCCACAAAAGCCAGAGGAAGGAGATTTTCTGTGCACTGACAGCTTTGTCTACCTGGCTGCTCCAGCCTGCCTCCTGCTTGGCCCTCCAGGAAGCTCATCCTACAGTGGCAGGTATGTGCATTTTTCTGTACACTATAGCTGTAAGGCATTTCATTGTTTGTCATTCAAACCAGTATTAAGTTAGCCATCCATCCACCCATCCATCAATTTCCTGCTCCACTTATCCTGGTCTGGGTTGCAGTGGCAGTCGGCTAAGTAAGGTAGCTCAGACATCTTTGTCCGTAGCCCTCCAATTCACACTTTCACAGGGTTTCACCCCAGCTGGGTGAGTTGGGTGTGCTTGGAATACCTTCGCAGGGAGGGACATCCTAATCAAATGCCCAAACTATCTTAACTAGCACCCTTCCAGGAGAATGGATCAGTGGTTCCTTGCAGGTGTCTTAGCTTTCCATTTGTTGATGACCCTCAAGCTGAGTCCCTTTTGAACTTTGTTTAGACCAAAGAATTGTGTGGAAAAAGTTCAGTAGAGGTTACGGAAAATGTTCTGTCAGATGTCTCAGGGTAGAACCGCTGACCAGTGCTGGGCGGATGATGGATGCTAAAAGGAACTTTACAAGGAACTCCCACAGTCTGAATACAGTGGTTCCCAATTTAACATGCTGCAATGTCATGCTAATATAGGATTTCTTTTTCATGGAAAGGCATGCTTTGAGTCAAAACCATCCTTTTGCATCTCATTTCCATTACAAACCCATTACAAAGTATTTTAAATAAAAGTGTGTGTTTTCTGTTTGTTTAAAATTTAGCAACACTAATAATGCTGTCATCTCAAATAATATAAAAATTGCTTGTGTCAGAGTTTAGATTGCTGCAGAATTTTTAAAAGAATTGCATTAGAACCATTCAAATAATTCAAATAGGAGAATGAAGATAGTAGACAAATATTTAGCATTGTTTTAAATAAAGATTATATGCTGTTGATGGCAGTGATTAGCTTCCTTTAGCTACTGAAATTCAATATGTAGCACAATGTTTGACTCAGATTCTGTCTGTTGTGTTTTTCCAGGGAGTCAGACTCGGAGAGTTCAGACTCTGGCCCTGTTGATCTGTCAGTACTTGGTTGTGACTCAGTGGCAGGAGACAGTGACTGGGACTCAGACCTGTCTGACTCTGATCCCAGTCGCCCCTCCAGAATCGTTGCTGCTGGTAGCAAATCTGCTGGCATAGTGCGACCCAAGCGGCTGGCAGCTGAACCAGCCTCGGGCTTGTTTTG